AACAAATTAGGGCTCTGCCCTCTGCAGGTTAACCCTAACTTCCTTAGGGTAATTTCAGTCCTCCTGCTCTTGAATCGTGACAGGGGTCTTAACCTTGATTATTTACCTTCTCCTTTACTACCGAATTAAAAAAAATTAAACAAAATGATCTGTACTATCACTTCTTCCCTATTGACAAACGGTCAATTTGTATAGATAAGAACTCATTTGAAGAAGGTTAGAGACAAAACTTGATTGGGGTTAGTGGGAATTGGCAAACTCCACTTGGCCAATCTTTCCCTATCCCTTCTTCCTTTGGAGTATACTCTGTCTCTGGCTACAAAAAACTGAAAACATATCCCACTAAATGCCATTATAAAAGTTGTCTTCCCCATTTTTGCACTTTTCTTTGTAGATGCCTTCAAATTCCTCATGATGAACTGGTTTATAGCGTTTACAGGGTAGGCTAGACATCTTATAAGAGAGTATGCTGAACAACGTCCCTTCAGCTACATTTTTGCTTACACTTGACAATCTCTCTGACATCTCTCTCTTAGGGTCTACAATAGAGAGCCTTCAGATTCCATCTTTTAGCAGGATGAGGTGTTCTGCTCCCATCCCTTCTGCTGCTCCTGCTACCATATCATCCTCTACACCTGCTACCACATCATCCACCTCTGCTATCTCCGCCCCAGAACAAGTTGCGATTACTTCAGCTGTGACTCAAGTCACAAATCGTTCTGCTGTTGGGCCTTCTGAGCTCACCCATGTTGAGAACCCTGTTGTGGATCATTCTGCTGAAGTCCATCCTGCTGCTCCTATCATTGCGCTTTCAAACATCTTGTCTAACATTTCTTCAGAGAGCACTCAGGATGCTGGAGATTCCCAAAACAATGGAGGACTAGCTAGTACTGGTCTATCAAAAAAAAGTTTAGGAAAGAGGCCAATGCTTGAGGGCGGTCATGACCGAAGTGACGTGCCACCAGCCCGGAGGACCAGGATGGCTTCTTTCAGGATTACTGAACCCTTCCCCCCAGCTCAGTTTTTCATTCCAGAGGGTGAATCAGCCAGAAACTCTGGTCCAACATCATCCGTTCTTCCATGGCAACCTTTGCTCAGCCATAAAGATGGCTCAACCACTGGCCCCGCAGACTCTATGTACAAGGACACCCTCACCTTCTTTGCTTTCTATAAGGGTTTTTGGACTCCCAAGGATCTTGAAATTCAAAACAAGTTATCCTTTGGTGAGATGTTCCAGCGGTTCCTAGCTGCTGTCATGGAGGTAACTCTTCTTCTTATTGAGATGTGTCTCTTTTCTACTATAACTCTTTAGTGGCTAGACTGACCAGAATCTCCCTTCCTTTGTGCAAACTCTATTTAGGATGTTTACCTTCCAGAAAACCATTGAGGCTCTGAACAAAAAACTCAAATCTCTCTGTGTAGGCCTTAAAAGGTCTGTTGAAGTAGAAAGCCGCCTTGAGGTCAAAGTTGCTAAGTTGAGTCTAAGCTGAGTGAGTCAGAGAAAGGGGCTGCCACCTTAAAAGTAGAGAAAGACGATCTGGCAAATGAAAGGGACACCCTCAGAGCTGAACGGGATACCCTTAAGGCTGAACGAGACTCTTTTTAGGATGAAGTTGATGTTCTAAAGACTGAAAAGAGCGTTGCACTGACTGAAACACTGAAGGCTGAGAAGGGAGACCTTCAGCGTTCACTTATTACTGACCGTTTGTCTCATGCTAATTCACAAGAAAAGCTCTTAAGCGAACGTTCTTCTTTACTGAATATGATTGGCAAAGTTGAAGGGGGTATGAAAGCTCTTCTTGCTCGCTTCACCAGAACCAGTGCCCTCCGGTATGCTGAAGGGTATAGAGACGGCTTTATTGACCGTTCTCCCCCTGAAGGTGAATTCAGTTCTTGTGTTGGTCCGGATGAGTTGGACGCTTCCTTAGATATCCACCCACCAAACAATTGCCAGAATCCACCCTACGACCCTGTTGAGAATATCTTTATCGAGTGCAGAGAGGTTACATCCTTAGGAGTTGTTCCATCCTTTCATCCTTTAAACATTCCTCCCATTACTACTATCGTGCCCTCCTCTTCAGTTGCCTCTAACAGACTCATGCTGGCCGAGGGGGTGATTCATCTTGATTCCCCCCTCCCCCCCCCCCCCCCAAGGATGATGGTGCAGCTGCGAATGAAAAAGACCTCAATGGTCCAGAAGGTAATGATGGGGAAAACAACGAGTCACAACCTGGAGAAGACCATGAGAACTAGCATACTGCAGTCGTTTTCATCAGTTTTTTTTTTTTTTTTTTTTTTTTTTTTTTTTTTTTTTTTTTTTTTCATGTACCTTCATGTATCCTCAGATCATCAAGCCCTGTACCTCAGAACTATTTTTGCAATGAATGTCAATGCTTATTTTCAGCATAACTTCCATTCTTCAAGTTTTTAATTTTCAACCTTGTTTTCAATTTTCACAAGTGTCTAGCGTTTGGCTCGAATGCCTCTTGCCACTCAGCCTTGATTCATTTTTGAACAAGTATTTGGCATTCTACTCATAATTCCAGTTGCCACTAATTTTGTTAAGTGCCTGGCGTTCAGCTAGAACGCCACTTGCCACTTGACATTTAGTTTATTTTGAGCAAGTGTTTGGCGATTGGCTCATAGTGCCAGGTGCCACTGACTTTGCTAAGTGGGAAGGATGTTAATTAATTTTTAAGCAAAGTAAACATCTTTCATAAAACTTAAAAATTTCGTACACTTGCAAGTATGCCATTAAAAACGTGCATATTATTTTGAAATTAAACTCTACTTCTACTGGTAGTACCTTTTCAGAGATGTAGCATTCCATGGCTTACTGACCAACCTCCCTGCCATGGTCTCTAGGACGTATGCCCCCTTTCCTATGACTTTTGCAATTCTGTATGGACCTTCCCATGGGGAAAACATCTTTTTAACTATCCCCACTTTCCTTTTCAGAACCAGATCGCCAAGGGTGAAGTCTCTATGCTTCACCTTCTTGTTATGGCTATTTACGAGCGTCTATTGATAAGAAGCAAGCCTTATTGCAGCTGCATCCCTTTTCTCCTCCAGCAAATCAAGATTAAATCTTAGCATTCTATCATTCTACTCTTAATTCCATGCTAAGCTTCTAACGGTTGGAACTAAGTGCTCTACTGGTATCACTGCCTCGGTGCCGTACGCCATAGTGAATGGGCTCTCCCCGTTCGACCGTCTTGGGGTTGTTCTGTAAGCCCACAAGATGTTTGGAAGCTCATCTAACCATTTTCCTTTTTCATTTTCCAGCTTCTTCTTGATGCGGGCAAATATTATCCTGTTCGTGATTTCAGCTTGACCATTAGCCTGGGGATGACTGATTGCTGCTAACTTCTGATTAATTCATACTCTTCTAGCAGCTCTTTCACTTGCTTGCTATCGAGATTGGTTCCATTGTCCATAATAATCGACCTTGGTACACCAAAACGACAGATAATATTAGTCCAGATGAAGCGTCTTACTTGAGTTTGGATGACACTAGAGTACGTCTCTACCTCCACCCATTTGGTGAAGTAATCAGTTGCTAGTAGAACGTACTTGTTCTGTGATCTTGTGGTCGGTAGAGGGCCAACCACATCCATCCCCCACTGCGTGAAAGGCTATGGCGTGGCCATTACGTGCAAGTCTTCAGGTGGTTGGTGTATCAATGACTCGAACCTCTGGCATTTATCATATCTTCTAGAGAATTCTTCTGCATCTCATGCCATGTTTGGCTAAAAGTACCCTTGTGTCATTGCTTTGTGTGCCAAAGATCTTCCTCCTGAATGATTTTCGCATACACCATCATGAATGGTCTGTATAATCTGTCGAGTCTCTGTTAGGGTAACACACTTCAAGTATGGACTCGAGAAAGACCGTCTATACAACTGATCACGCACAATAGCATTCTTCGCGGCGTTGGACCTAATTTTTCTTGCCTCATCTTTCTGTTCGGGTAGTACACCATCACGTATGAAAGCCAAGATCGGATCAATTCAGCTCAGCTCATATGGTATTACATTAATGTGTTGAGCGCTTGGATCAGGCAGCTCGTCAAAAATTGATGGCTGGACCAACACGTCAATCGGGATGACCCTAGCCAGAGTTTCTCCAGAACTAGATGCATTACAGGCCAAGCGATCGACATCTTCATTGTATTTCCTTGGCAATTGAATGAACCTGATCTGATCAAAGCCTTTTGCCTCACGCAGAACCGCAGTTCGGTATGTTTCCATGATCTTATCCTTGGTTTCATATTCCCCAGTGACTTACCGAACGACTAGTTGTGAATCACTATAACCAATTAGATTCTTGATATTCAGCTCTTTAACCAACTTCAGCCCAGCTAATAATGCCTCGTATTCTACCTTATTGTTGGTTGCGCTGAACTCAAGTCTTATCGCTTGGCTCAACGTAGTGCCTTCTGGTGTTTGCAATTGGATTCCAATCCCTACCCCTATTTGATTTGAAGAGCCATCTACAAAGAGCTTCCATAAGGAGCAACTATAATCTTCCACCAAGTCTTCAACATCACACTCAAGTAGGAAATCAGGCACCGCTTGACCTTTGATTGCCGATCTGGGTTCGTATGTAATATCAAATAAGCTCAACTCAATGGCCCATTTTGTCATTCTTCCTGATAGGTCCGGCTTGTGCAAGATCATCCTTAAAGGAAAGGTTGTTAAGATGACAATCAGATGCGATTTGAAATAATGTCTGAGCTTCCTTTTTGCGTTGACCAATGACAAGATCATCCGTTCGGCCTTTGAGTACTTTCTTTCTGGCTCGGCCATTGTTTTACTGACATAAAACACTGGGAATTGCTTTCCATCTTTGCAACGGATCAGAACGGCACTGGTCGCGATACTGGATACCCCAAGATACAGAAAGAGCTTCTCATTTGGCTCAGGAGTAGATAGAACCGGAGGGTTACGCATGTATTCTTTCAGGATGGTTAGTGCCTGTCGTTGTTCATCCCCCCAGGCTTACCTTCCATAGCCTCGAATTGTATCAAAGAATGGTTTACAACGGTCTGAGAGCTTAGAAATAAATTGACTCAGCGCAACTATTTGACCTGTGAGTGCCTGCACCTCCTTAGTTGTCTTTGGTTCTGCATTTCTGATCAGAGCTTCTACCTGCGCTCGGCTGGCCTCAATTCCTCTATGATTGACCACATGTCCCAAAAATTGACCAGAGCTCACGCCGAATGAATATTTGGCCAGATTAAGCTTTATCCCGTATTGCCTCAACATATCGAACACATCCTGAAGGTGCGCTAAGTGATCATTCTTCTTCTTACTCTTGACCACCATATCATTAATGTAAGACTCAACAGTTCTCCCCATTTGGCTTTTGAAAATCTTGCTGATCAGCCTCAAATAAGTAGCTCCCGCATTTTTTAATCCGAATGACATGACTTTGTAGCAGTAAGTCCTTCGTTCAGTAACAAAAGAAGTTTTCTCTTCATCGATTGGGTCCATGGGGATTTGATTATAACTGGAATAAGCATCCAGGAAGGTTAATCGCTCGTATACTGTGATGCCATCCACTATTTGATCAATCCTTGGCAATGGGAAGCTATCCTTTGGGTAAGCTTTGTTCAGATTAGTGAAGTTAATACATACTCTCCATTTTCCATTCTTTTTCTGCACCACAATGACATTAGAGAGCCAGGCCGGGTACTGAACTTCTCTAATGAATCCTGCCTCGAGCAACCGATTAATCTCCTCAGCTATGATCCGATTTCATTCTGGAGCAAATCTTCTCTGCTTCTGCTTCACAAGTTTTGCATTCGGATCTACATTAAGGGAATGGTAGGACACAGAAGGACTAATCCCTGGCATATCTGAATGGCTCCATGCGAATACATCTGCATTCCGAGTCAGGAAGTCAATCAACCCTAGTTTTTCCTCTTCAGTAAGTCTAGATCCCACCCTTGTTGTTCGGTCCAGTTTCTTATGGTCGATCTTCACATCAAGAAGAGGCTCTGTGGTCAGAACTGATGGCTCCTCCTCCCCATCTTTGCTGGGTGAAGGCTCCTGTAATTGCTATCTTGGACTGGCAAAACGGATGGGATTTTTTCCTTTTCCAGCAGAGTTCAAAGTCACTGAATAACATTCTTTAGCTGCAACCTGGTCCCCATGAATGTCAATCACCTTGGTCCCATCTGGACCCAAGCATCGCATCACTTGATGTAGGGTTAATGGGACACCCTGAACTCTGTGTATCCACCCTCTTCCCATCAAGAGGTTATAGGATGGATGAATTTCCATGACCACAAAACTCTCAGTCAAAACTCTCTCAGCAACTTGTACTGTCAATTTCACCATGCCAATGGGCTCCACCCACTTCCCATCAAATCCGAGTAATGGATTTCCTATGGGTTTAAGTTTCTCGGGTTCGATCTCAAGTCGGTCGAACATCACTCTGGGCATGACATTTGCACTACTTCCTGGATCAATCAGAACTCTTCGAACCAAGCATTCTGCAACTATTAGACTGACGACTAGTGGATCTTCATAAGGAATCTGAACACTTAGCAGGTCTGTTCTATCAAACTTTATAGGCGCAAATGCGTTCTGCTGGTGCAAAGCATGTACATTGACAATCCTTCTCTTCAACTGGGCTTGGCGTAACCACGTTCTGAGCAACTCCTCTGACTCCGTCATTTGTTTAGGTCGGCCATGAATTGCATTTATAATCCGAACGGGCTGAGTGCTGTGGTGGTTCGGCTTCTGGTTTCACTTGATCTGTTCAGCCGGTCGGTTCTGCTTTTGCTTCGGACCTTGAACATAGCCTACAAATTCCCCCTTTGTGATTAACATCTCCACTTGCCTCCTTAGGTTCCTACATTCATTAGTCTGATGTCCAAAATCACTATGGAAAGCACAATGTTTAGTTTGATCCCTCTGTTTGAGAGGTTGTCTGATTGGTAAAGGAGGGCGAAACTTATCTTTATTTTCTTGGTACAGCCTTGCCAAGGTGACTCTGAGTGGAGTAACCAATTCCTCTTCCCTAGGCCTTTTCTCTGCCTTCCATGGGGTATGACGTTGCGGCTGAGCTTGTTTTTACGGGATCTTGGCTTTGGACTTCTCTTCTGTTGAAATAATTGACATTTTCCTTGAATTGGCTGCCTCTTCTTCCTTAAGACGAACAAAACTATTGGCTCTCTCATTCAGCTCGTCCATGGTCTTCGGTGTATTGACCACTGAGCTTGTGTGGAACGGTGTCCCCCGGTTCATTGCGAGTTTAAATGCTTAGACCGCTATGGATGGATGATATTCCATTACCATGCTTTTAACTAGGTTGAACCAGGTGAGAAAAGCTTGTAGTTGTTCATCTTCGTGTTGCCTCATTGTGAAAAGGCTTGATATATCCTTACCCGGACGTTTATTCCCATAGTACTGGCTTATGAACTTATCACACAAGTCCTGGAAACTAGCGATTGAGCCCTGAGCCAGATTCTTGAACCAATTGAGAGCTAGTCCAGCCAAGCTTATAGGGAAGCATTTGCACATCAAAGGATCATTGTTAGTATTCAGAGCCATTTTCAACTGAATGTGGTAGATGTGGTTGACCGGGTCAATTGTTCCATCAAACAGAATAAAGATTGGCATGGAAAACTTCTTCGGATTCAGCGCATTCAGAATTTCATCCGTGAATGGAGATACAACCGTCCTTGCTGATAAGCGCAATGCTTCGTTCTCCCTTGAAAATCGTGACGGAACTCCCCGATCGGCAGATCTCCTTTCTGAACTGCGGTAGTCAAATGTTGCCATTAAAGGTCAATAAGGTGGATCAAATGATCTGTCCTCTGCAAACTCACTTTGCCATGGTGATGCAACCCTATAATCACACGCCGGTGCTTCCTCTCTCATAATCCGTTCGCGATGTGGCTCCAAATGAATAGATCCTTTTCGATCCTCTACTGGACCAATATTCAGAGGTAGATCGTCTATTATAACTTCATCATGACATGGATCAACACGATTAATACCTTCTGGATCACCTTAATGAATAGAATAGGATGGTAAGACTCCCTCTCCTTCAGGAGGTGGCCTGAGAATTGTAGGAGCCTCACAACACTCTATTCTAGTACGCAACTCTACATTTTCTTTCTTCAAGGCGTCGATCATGTTCATCAACTCATCGAGCTTTATCTGTTGGCCATTTTTCAAAGGATTTGAGCTCTCCTCTCTGATCATCATTCCAGATCAGAGCAAAGTCATCAACCACAGATTTCTTAATCAGATCGGAGCTTCGTTAATGCATACGCACCAGATTTGGACTCACACTTGCTGAATTCTGTTTGCTACTGGCTGGATTCAGCAATCTTAACAAATCACAACTGTGCAGCTCGCCAGATCAAGCACATATCAGATCTGCATGGATCGGACACCAACCTCTCAAAATTAACTAGAACCAAGACTCGTCAAGACAGATTGTATTTTCATCAATTTTGATTCAACTTTCAGAGATTAATCGTCTTCTTCGCAGAGTGCTTTAAATCGAATCGATCTGGATCAACATCAATCAATCCTCTCTGTTCTTCCCACAGACGGCGCCAATTGAAAGTACAAAGAATTTTTCCCTAATTGTAGAGAGAGAAACTTTACACTCCCAATGATTTTCAACCACTTTTCCCCCTTAATCCCCTTTATTTATAGACGGTTATAACCACCACTGAACTGGACCTACCTTGTTCTCTTTCGGCTGGACTCGACTTCTTTTATCATAACATGGGTTTCCGCAATGACTTCTTGGATCTGGGCCCATTCAGCGCGGACTTGCTCCATCCTGGCTGTCCATACCCGACCCGTTCTTAGCAATATGAACCATACCAAGCCCAGATCATTTTTTGGTGTCTTCATGTCCCAAAATATCCCAATTCCAATGTCTAATGTTTACAAATGTCCCACCCCTTGCCAAATTAGGCTAATCCTCTATTTATAGGTGGCTCTTGTGACCTCAAATTGGTTAGACCATGTACACAAAGACTTACCTTTGATTGCACCCTAAGCCCCTTTGAATCAAGACTTAAATTCTGATTTTCGCAACTGTCAGGCCCAATTCGATTGATCACAGCCTTGGCTCAATCGATCATAGGTTGTTAAAGATATTTATGTGGATAAGGACAAAGTGCTCGATCGATCACAGCCTTGGCTCGATTGATCAGAGGTTGTTGGAGATATTTATGTGGATAAGGACAAAGTCTTTGATCCTTCAAGGTTTCTGGATGAATCGATCTGATGAGTTCATCAGACATCTTGGTTCGATTGATCAATAGGTAGGAATTTTTCAAATCAGCTTCCTTTTTGCTTTGGTTTCTCACCAAGACTTTGATTGACTTTCCTAAGGCTCTAAAACACAGGGGTTAGCTCATATCAACCTTATGCACCTGAAAAGGGGAAAAACACAAATTAAGATTAAAGCGGGAAAATAAAGATAGAATAAGGTTCTATTATACTCAAGATTAAGGTTGAAATGTGCATATTTCAGCACTTATCAATCTTTATCGAGAACTCGATTAGATAGAAGCATCGTTTGAAGACCCGAGAATTCCCGATTTTACTTGACTTTGAGGACAAATGCCTAAAAATAGCAAAAGCATATAAACGGCATAAAAGTATAAAGTAAAAACCACTAAACGGCTAACGTATGCAAATAAGAGGGCTAAAATGTGCAACATTCAACGCTTACCACGCTGCCACCACCACTAACTTCCACCATTGCCACCACCACCAACTTCCCCCATTGCCACCACCTTCCACAAATACCAGCTTCGACCACCGTAACCTCCATTGCCTTCCACCATTACCACCACCACCACCGCCACCACCATTACCGCCACTGCCACCACTTACACCATTGTCACCTTTCACCACCACTAACACACCGCTGCCGCCACCGTCACCCTCACCTCCACTACCTTCCACCACCACCAACATTACTGCCTCATTTCTCTACCACCACACCACTGCCACCGCCACTACCTTCCATAATCATCGCCTACCCCACTAACACCTTCCACCACTACTTCCACCACCGCCACTGTCGCCGCTGCCTTCTACCATTACCACCACCGCCTCCTTCCAACACCATCACCTACATCGCTACCACTTTCCACCCCCACCACCATCTTCAACGCCATCCAACACCACCACCATTTCTTTTAAAAAATTATACAAGACTGTTATTTTGTTAATTTAATTTAAATTCATTTCATTCTAAATTTTAAATTGGTTCAACCAAACACTATAATGGTTGTTATCATTTCATTCCTACACAAGTAAGTTTAATTTTAATTTTTTCATATAATTTTCTTATAAGTAAATGTTAATTGTTAACTTAAAGAAAAAATATATATTTTTTTGTAGCCATAACTATTGCTTAAGGACTTTTGAGATGAAATTCAGGTATAAAAATGTGGCATTTTATGGTAAATCATTTTATTATTGATATATGTTTAGTAATTTCTAAGTATTATTTCCTAATAAGTAATACCAAAATAATTCACTAAATCCTTTTTACTTTTTAGTGAATTTTTGTTCTTTGGATTGAGGAGATGTCACTGTGCAATGCAAAGAAGTTACTGAAGGCTTAGAGCTTGGGTGTTTATTATTCGCCTTCTAAGTTTTTTAGTTGTTAAACAATTTGTATGTTTGGAATATCTTACTGAATTATGTTTGGATTGTTGATGACATATTATCTCTTTTGACTGGTGCTTGATCTATTAGATTTAATATGTTTTGTAGTTGAATTGTCTTTAAGTTATATTTTCATAATATTAATGGTTATAGGAAAAAAAAATTATATAGGTGGATACTATGATGTTTGTTGTTTTTTTACAAGTTAAGTGGATATTGTCAGTTTACAGGTTAACTAGTTAAGTGAATCCCATGTTAATATATTGTATACAGGGAAAAATAACAAGTATTAAAAAAAGAAATCAACTAAAATTATAGAACCGAACCGAACCGAACCCTTTTTTTTTGTAGTTTAGTTTGGTTCAGTTCCATGGGTATCATGGTTCGGTCTGGTTTTAAAAATAGCGGAACCATTACGAATGGTTTGATCTCAAAAAACTCCCAAACAGGTTCAAACCGAATCGTATGCACCCCTAGTTAGTAAGTAAATGTTTGTTCCTACGAAAAAAAAGGAGAAGGGGTATTCTGCAATGTTTAAAACTAAAGGGGTTTAGTGCACTAAAATATGTTTCTAAACTATTATTTTACATTTTTTTTAACCTTGCAAACAGCACCAGAAGCAGCAACAAACTAGCAATACAAAATTTTGTTGGCTGCCAAGACAAGGATATTCTCAGGAATATGAATAAAAGCCAAATTTGTAGGAATGTGTTATCTAGAAAGCTTAGCAATTGCGTGAGCGACTTCATTGCTATGTCTCTGGACATGGCTAAGGCGAGACCATGAAAATCTTCTAAGCACCACTTGGACATCATAAACAACTGAATGAATTTCAGTCGGCCCAGGAGCACCACCCATCACAGCCTAAACCACTATCAAAGAGTCACATTCAAACCAAACCCTCGAAACTAAAGATGAAATAGCCTAAAGAACTGCTTTACAATGACATATAGCCTAGTTTTGCTACGGCACCAACTGCACAAAAGTGTGATAAATGTAGAGTGGCTAAGTTTGAATTTATA